CAGTACCCAGGACTGGAGGAAGAAGGAAGACCTGATGATTGCACATGGGTTCCAGGTGTGCACTTGGAAATAGCACAGCTGGTATGTGTTCATACCACTTAGGCCAGCACAGGTCACATGGCCAAGCCTGCGGTCACTGGGGTGGAAAGTGGGCACACTGTCCTCTTCCAGGGATGGGCACTGAATCATGGCAGTCAAAGGCAATCATTTTGCATTTGTGGGCTGGATTTTATTTCCCACTAACAGTGTTTTAAAACCAAAAGACGATGGACAGAGATGGGGTGTTGCTGATGACTGAAGACCCTCTGGGTGAGAGAGGAGCTGGTGGGCAGAGCTCCCCACATGGACAGTCCTTTCCATGACATCCTGTCAGCCTTCCAAAGTGAGACCTGAGAGGGGCCTACACAGTGGCAGCTCTGTGTACAGCTTGAAGACAGCTCATTGTTCTGTATTTAGAAGAGAGAAAATTCTACCCTCTCTGCTTTATTGATGTCTCTATTCTGTGTGAAAATTGCCTACAGCTGTTGGTTGTTACCAAGCCAATGCCAAACCAGAACTTTAAGCTGAAGCCATTGGAAAACAAATTATCTTGAGGTTTGTATCTGTCCTGGAGAGTGAGAGATGGCTTTTTCTCTGCTCATGACTTCAGGGACTTAGACCACAAATTCATCCAAGTGTCAGGAGTGGCTGGGGTGAGAGAGGTGGGCTCAAAGCCTCCGGAATCCTCTGGCCTGGGCTCTCTTCTACTGCCCCCACATGCAGGAGAGGATGGCGTGGGGTGCTGGAGAATATTTGGGCTCTGCAGACGGGCAGCTTTTCCAGGTGCCAGGTCCATACCCAGGGACACTCCCTCTCAAGATGGTTTTTGTTAGAATTTGAGGTTTTTTTCCTTGCCTACAAAATGGAGATAATACCATCTCTCTGATAGGGTTGGTGTGGAGATTAAAGAAGGCGACTTCTTCCAAAAGGCTGGCAACTCACAAATAAATGCTTCGTTCCCTACATCCTAGGGCAAAACACTCTAAGCAAATATCCTGGGTTTTTCCTTTTCTTGAAAGCTGATCTGCCTGCTGTGAGCAAGCCAACGTGCGCCCCACTTGCAGGCCATCCTACCTCTGTATCTGTTGGAAAGCATCTCATCAGAGCGTCGTCCTAAGCCAGTTTCCTTTGCCTCTACTGATGAGTCACTCATTTGACATTTTAAAGACTGATACCAAATAGGTTTCTTTGAGAATTGCTACTGCAACCTTATCATCTCATGAATAAAGCAAGCGTGGATAGGTCAGCCATGAGACTCCTTGAATGTGAGCAGTCGGGGGCGCCCCATTCTCTCAGCAGGTTCCCTGCTACAGGCAGGGGGAAGGAATCAGAATTATTCCAATTTCAGGATGTTATGGTTTCTGAAGCTCCCTGTCTGACATCCAGCCTAACTTTTATTTTTTTTTAAACAGCAGCTTCATTGAAACATAATTGACATACTTTATAATTCCTGTACTTAAAGTGAGCAATTCAGTGGCTTTTAGTATATTCATGAAATTATGCAGCCATCACCAAAATCAATTTTAGCAGACCCCATAAAAAGCAACTCCCATGCCCAGCTTTATTGAGATACAATTCACGTACTGCATAATTTATCTATTTAAAGCGTGCAATTCATTGGCCTTTAATGTATTCATAGACTTGAGCAGCCATCACCACAACCTATTTTTAGCAGTCTCCCCCCAAAACTCATCCCATAACCCATTAGCCATCACTCCTATTCAGCCCCAACCCCCCATCCCACCCCAACCCCCTGGCAAACACTAATATACCTTCTGTCCCTGAGAAGCTGCCTACTCTGGCAGTTGATGTATGTGGAACCCAGCAGCAGGTGGGTCTTTGTGACTGGCTTCTTTCACTTAGCAGAAAGTTTTCAAGGCTTGTCTCTCATGGCCTGTGTCAGTATTTCATTTCTTTTTATTGCTGGAAAACATTCTATTGCATAGGTAGACCACATTCTGTTTATCTGTTCATCATTGGTGGACATTTGGATTGTTACCAGTTTTTGGCTGTTAAGAATAATGTTGCTGTAAACATCGGTTGCACGTTTTTACATAGAAACATGTTTTCAGTTCTCTTGGAAGTTGAAAAATATACCAAGGAGTGGAATTGCTGCGTCACATGGCGTTGCCATGTTTTTCAAGAACTGTCAGACAGGATCCAAGTGGCTGCACCATTTTATGCCCCCTCCTTTTTTGAGACAGTCTCATCCTATTGAGTAGAGTACTATGGCTTCACAGCTCACAACCACCTCAAACTCTTGAGCTCAAGAGATCCTCTTGCCTCAGCCTCCCAAGTAGCTGAGACTACAGGCGCCCACCACAATGCCAGGATAAT